ACGAATCTCAAGTGGGCTCTCATTGCTGTCCAGTATTTTTATAGCGTTTTCCTACTTAATTCACTTTCTCACTTTCCTAGAAGAATATTTCCTATCTGTCTCCAGATCCTCACTTGCAGCTAATGACCTCATTTGTTGTTTCATGTAGAAAGTAGGATAATTCAGAAGAGAACTACCTCATATTCCCCAAAACCAAATTTTTCAACCTATTTGCATCTGTACATCCATACTCTCCCTCTTTCCTATTAAAATGAATGAACTGGTAAAGAATAGCTAAGGCAATTTTGAAGAAGAACAAGTATAAGGACTTACATTCCAAATATTAATATTTATTATAAAGCTCTAAGAGTTAAGAGAATGTAGTATTGGCACAAGAACAGACAGAGACACTAATGGAACAGAACAGAGTCCAGAAACAGACCCAAACTTGTACATTTATCTGATTTATGACAAAGGTGACACTGCAGTGAAGTGGAGAAAGTATGGTCTTTTTAATAAATACTGTGGGTCAAATGGATGTACACATGGAAAAAAATTTTGAACCCTGACTTACTACCATAATAGAAATTAATTTCAGATGAATTGTGGATCTAAATATAAAAATAAAACAATAAAACTTTTAGGGAAAAAAAAGACCATTGACATGATCTTGATTAGTCAAAGATATTTTAAATAGGGCATAAAAAGAAAAAGATTATAAATAAGACTACAACAAGATTAAAACCTTCTGTTCATCAAAAAACACTATTAAGAAAGTGAAAAAGTAAGCCACAGAGTGAGAGAAGATATTTGCAACGCAAATATTTGACAGAGGAATAGAATATATAAATAACTACCACAAATCAATAAGGAAAGGCAATCTTCTAATGGGAAAACAGGCAAAAGACTTGAATAGATACTTCTTAAAAGAGGATATCCAAATAGCCCACAAAACATGAAAAGAGGCTCAATTTCATCAGTCACCAGGGAAATGCAAATTTAAACCATAATGGTATACCAGTGCATAACAAGCAGAATTACTAAAATGAAAAAGACCATGCCAAATGTTGGCAAAGAAGTGAAGCAAACAGAGCTTTCCATACATTGGCAAGAGTGCATACTGCTGAGAGTGTAAACCGGTGGAACCACTTTGGGAAACTGTTGGGCAGCATCTACAAAAATTGAACATACACATCCCTATAACCTAGCAACCCCACTTCTTGACAGATATCCCAGAGAAATGTGTACATATGTTCACCAAAAAACATAGACAAGTATGTTTATGGCAGCGCTATTCATGATTGCCCAATACTGGAAACAACTCAATGTCTGTCAACAGCAGAATGGATGAATGAATTGTAGTATATTTATACAAAAGAACACTATTAAGTAAAGAGAATAAAGAAATTATATCTACAGGCAACAACATGGATAAATTTTACAAACATGATATTAAGAGAAAGAAGCCAGACATGAAAAAATACCTTCTCTATAATTCCATTTATATAAAGTTCAGAAACAGGCAAAAATTAATCTAAGATGTTAGAAGATGGGAAAATGATTACCCTTGGTGAGAGGCAAGGGTTGTTTTAAAACAAAATGAATTTATGAAATATCCTATAACGAATGCACATGATTTGAGTTACCTTTGCATTTGTTTTTAAAAATGATCATCATAGGGCCGGCCCAGTGGCTTAGCGGTTAAGTGCGTGCGCTCCACTACTGGCGGCCCGGGGTTCGGATCCTGGGCGCGCACCTACGCACCGCTTCTCTGGCCATGCTGCGGCTGCGTCTCACATACAGCAACTAGAAGGATGTGCAGCTATGACATACAACTATCTGCTGGGGCTTTGGGGAAGAAAAAACAAAGGAGGAGGATTGGCAATAGATGTTAGCTCAGAGCTGGTCTTCCTCAGCAAAAAGAAGAGGATTAGCATGGATGTTAGCTCAGGGCTGATCTCCCTCACAAAAAAAAGAAAATGATCATCATAGTATTTCAAGTGGGAAAAACGAAAGACAAAATAGTAAAAACACAAAATTACTGTGAAAAATAGAATTCAGTTCAGATTGCCAATCTTTCCTACTCTCAAGTCTGCATCAAACACATGTCTAAATTTTGCGAAATTTATAATTCTTTCCGAAGCCTTCACTATATTCTCTTTAAAGAAGAAATGGTGTCATTTCTCCATGTCTTTATTTACAAAACTGTAAAAAAAAAAGTGATAAAATTACTCTGAGATAAATCAAATGCTGGCTGCCATTTTCTCAAAACCTTCATAACACCAGGCCAACTTTGACACCTATGGCACTGTTTCTCAAAATTCAGTGTACAGAACCTCTGCATCACTAGTTCTCTTGGAATCTGGCCACATCTATATAAAACGGGGATGACAATAGCAATTATCTCAGAGCTGTTGTCAAGATTAAAAGATATAAAAATGCATTATCCTGGAATACAGTAACTGCTCAGTGGATGCTAACATTTAATCTTCTCTTAATTTATACTAATAGTGCTAACATCAGAAAAGCCTGGCATGCTTGTTAAATCAGTATTGATTTCTGGGCTCAACCCCAGACCTACCAAAGTGGAATTGCTGGTTGGGCCTGGAAATCTGCATTTTAACCAGCATTTTGGGTGATTCTTTTTGCACACTCAAATTTGAGAACCACTGTCCAGAGGTTAGGGGTTACTTCTTATTTGTTCCTCATTGCACACAATGGATGCTTGTTGACAGGCTGACTGATGTTCAATATTGCCAGATGGGTATGACGTCAATTATTAAAGGAATCTGGAATTTGTTATATGTTTGTGCAGTACAAGGGAAAAGATTTTTACGTTTTGACTCCAGCAAAATATAAAGGGAGGGTTGTTTTGTTAATAGTATCAAAAGTGGTTTCAGCCTCAATTATTTAAACTCTTTCTTTATAAATGTGAAGGTATTTCAATCCTCTCATATTTCACATAGCCTTTATTCCCCCCCTTAAAATAATTCAGTCCTTTTTTCTTTTTTTTAACTTTAGAGGATCCAGAAAGCATAGACATGTGCTCGTGGAGAGGACAAATGACCGTATTTTCTGGGCTCTGCGTTATTAATATTAGGCCCAGAACTAGGCTTTCATAACCACTTTCTTTCTTACATCTGTGTTCATTTAAAGGAAAGTTCCGGCAATTTGTCTAAAAGGAGAACTGCAAGTGAAAATGTCTTCAACTGTTTAATTCAAATAGAAATTTAAATCAAATCACAGTAACTATTTGAACTTTTTGTCTATAAAACAGTTATACAACTTGTTGCATTGAACAGAAAATTGTAATAGGAGAAGAAATCTCATGAGACGTTTGATTGCATTGAAAGAACAGGAGAATCAGCCTTTGACAACAGAGAAAAATCAGGAATTATTTCCAGCTTTGTTTCTGTTTCATGCCATTAAGTAAACATAAAGATTAAAAGATAAAACCTAGATACTTTATCAGTGCAAGATAACGTTTAGGAACTAAGTGGTCTTGTTTGGTGAAAAGCCTTAAACATATGCTCCATTGTGAAAGATAAATTCATATCATTCAGTTGCATATTTTTCAACTACTGTTGGCTGAGTAAATCTGTATTCTATAAATTAGTGGAAGAGGTTCAGAGCCTTAAAGACACATTTATTTCACAAGCCAAATAGAAGAATGGTTGGGATTAGACATGAAGAACTTGACCTCCAGGCCACCAGATGGACTTGTTATTTTCCAGCCAACAATCTGTTCCTTTATAAATATCAAATGCCCTTGACTTTCTGCTGCCACAATTAACCTTTACAATGATTCTGAACTACAGTGAGACTTTTTTCTCTCTCTCAAAAGAGGAAAGGATGGGATGTTTTTTTCTTTTCTGGCAGTGATGCTAAATTCTAGCAGTTTGCTAAGTAGTGGAAATCATGCTGTAAGCAAAAGTCTCTGCAAGACAGAGATTCCGGCAAAATAGTCTTTATTTTTCCAATGGATACTGGCTCCTCTTAGAGGATTCAATTCCAAGAGCAACTGCACTGAAGCGAGGGTTCCCTGAGACTGAGACCAGGAGACACCAAGACCACGGGGGGCTTCTTCTCCACCTCTGTCCAGTGGGAGTGGGACCCCCGATCTCCTAGTGGACCTCTGTTCCACAGGCTGAATTTGGGCACCCAAACCAGTTATAGTAAACTACGTTCTGACAGGATAGAGTAAAAATATGAAACTGAGCGAACAGTTCAGGTAGAAGATTTAGCTATTTAGCGAAGCGATGATAATATTAAAAACTCTTTACTTAAGCATCTAAATAGTCTGATTTTTCTTAGAGTTAATATAGAAAATTCTCAGACATGAGGAGCAGCAGAAAACTTCAGACCAAGTCTGATTCCTGTTGAGCATTTACCACTGAATTTCCTTGCATTTTGACAACTGGCTTGGCAATTACATATGGCTTTTGATAGTAACCCAGTAAAAGAAAATTACCTATCAAGGCCCAGAGTCACGTGTACACTGGTCAGATTTTACACTGCCTTATAGCTGTTTCCTTGGCCTCTCCTCTCTCTGTGATGACCGTGGCTTTGATTATTTACTTCTAGATTTAAGAACAAACCAAGAGTTGCAGAAAACTTTTGGTCTGTCTTTCTCAGGGGTGACGGTGACTGTGAATTCTATTGTGACACCTGAAACATAATCTGAGCATGCTCCAAAGCCAAAACAGACTTGGAAAAGGAGATCTGGAGATCTGTGGTTGGTAGGCGAGAGTTTACAAGTCCTGATCTCATTTAAAAACCCGGAAGGCACTTCACAGCAGGCTCTAGGAGTAAGCAAAGCAAGACTAGACTAGGGATGAGACTTTCAAGATCATTAAGAGGACATCCATTTTAATACTCACCATAACTCAATACCACATTTCATTCATTCATTCATTCGTTCGTTCCCCATATTTTCTGTTACTCCCTTAAATTAGGAGCTGGATCTTAATTAATGCTTAAGATTTCTCGAAGGAATAAATATTTGAAGCAGTAACACTTACTTTCCAGTAATAAACTGACTCCTGGACGGTGTGCAAATAGGCTGGACATAGTAGTTCTCCAGTTTAACGCCTTCCGCAGCAAGCTTGTCAAGAGTAGGAGTCTTTATCTCCGATCCATGGTAACCCACATCTCTAAATCCCTGATCATCGGCTAAAATGAAAATGAGATGGGGCTGGGAGGTGGCACTTGGGCTGGGCTCCGGCCTCTCTCCAGCTTGAGCTCCAAAGGTCCCTTCCTCCTCCTCCTTCAAGCCCTGGCCCCAGGACAGGTAACCATAGGTGAGGAGGCCCAGGACCCAGAAGCCTGCCAGCGCCCCCATGGCTAGCATCTTTCCGGGCCAGACCCAGGCCCGCGGAGGAGGCGGAGGCGGACGCCCCGCGCAGCCCCTGGGGGCCATTCACTCGGGTCCCAGCCGAGACTCCAGGCGCAGAACCACGCGCCCCGCGCCGCCGCCGGCGCACACATGCACGCGGGAGGGGTGGACCCAACAGGCGGTGGAGGGTCTCCACCTGGAGAGAAGTCCTGCGCTCCTCTCGGCTGTCACCACGTCCACCAACTTGAATCTTCTAGAAGTGATGGCTTAACGGACGGGGCGTCGGGTGAACAAGGAGTCTCTCTTCTCCATCAAATTTCACTTTCTCCTCCTCCTCCTCGCTCCCCAGAGCAGCTTCCACAAATAAAGTTAATGCCTCCACTCAAAAGTTCTTAGGAGAAAAAAATTTAAGTAAGGAATTGAGAATCACCGTGGGGAGGGACTTTTCGTGGCCAGAGCGCTCTCAACTGGGCAGCGGGACTCTCCCGAGCGCGCGCGCACAGATGGCGGTGGGTCGTCAGTCCGTCCAGCGGTCCCCTCACCTGGAGGGCACTGAAAAGTTGAGCCGCGGCGCCTCGCTCTTACCCGGGCAGATGAGGAGCTGCCCGGAGTGGACCGGCTCCCCGATCACTTGCTCCACTTTTCCAAGGCTCTCTCCTTTCTCCCAGTCCTTTCCGAGAGTTCGCCAATCTCCCCGACACTCACCAGGCGGCGAAGTGAGAAAAAAGCCGTTTCCTGATCTCCCTCCACGGCTACCACTGCTTCTCTGCAGGAACTCTGGGCAGCGATTCCTTCTCCGGGCCGCTGGAGCGCGTGGGGACCGCAGCGGGGTCCCTAACCCCCGTGGCCACTCCACGGCAAGCCCGCTCGGTCTCCGCGGAGTTGGTGCACCCGGCGGAGGCGCTGGAAGCTGCGTGCGTTTTGTCAGCTAACTTATTTAGTTTTGGCACTCAGAGTTCTTTGCTGCCTCCTCCCTCTTTTCTCTCCAGTGAATCACAGAACTGCACTTTCTGCGTTAGCTCCCCCAGGAAGAGGGGGAGGGGTGAGGTCGGTTTAGAGGTCCGATCTTTCCTTTTTCCTTTCCAGGAGGAGGATGGAGGAGGGAGGGGAGGCTTTGCGGGAGAGAGAGCGAGCTGCGCGCTGCTCGAGCCCTGCGGGATCCGGGGGGGATCCGCCAGGGCTACCGCTTCCTTGGGTCTCGTCGGCCGCCCTCCATCGTGCGGACAGGGGGAAACCCGAGGCCGCACGAATGCGGACGGATGAAGCGGGCGCTTCTCTTCGTGGGTCTGTGGCTGAAGAGCCCGCTCGTCCATCCCGAATGCTGCGCTTGCAAACTTTTTCTAGCTCTGGAGAGAGTGAGAGCAGAAGGACAGGAGAAACGACAAACTGCGTGGCAAACTCTTTCTTCCTTCCTCTTCTGGTTTTCCTTTACCGGTCCCTTTTCCCCCTGCCTCCCTCCCTCCCCCCCCCCCCCATTTTTCCTACTCCTTCTATCTCCGCCTCTTTTTTTTTAACAGTCGCGACTACAAGCTTTTAAGTTGAATTTCCTTTCCCTGTTGTTGGCCTTTCTGGCCTGACTTTATTAGCTTCTCCCTAAGAGAAGAGATTGAAATTTCTCCCTCCTCTTACCTCTCCCCAAACTTACCCACAGGGTGTCTCCAGCCAAGAACGCGGGGAGGAAGAGGAGACACATTTCACCCTCAAGAACCACGAGGCCAGTGTGCACTCTTGCACGAAAGAAACCACCGTTTCCCATCCAGTAATTCCAGGAACTTCTTCACTTTTTTTTTTTTAACTATGTGGAGTAAAATCATTGTGAAATCTTGTCCTGATGGTGAAGATACGCCTGCTTTTACTAGAATCGTAGGTTTTTAAAGTATTTTTTTATTGAAGTAACATTGGTTTATAATATTATACAAATTTCAGGTGTACATCATTGTATTTCGATTGCTGTGTAGACTACATCATGTTCACCACCCAGAGAGTACCATCCCTCACCGTACACATGCCCTATTACTCCTTTGCCCTCTCCCCTCCTGATTTCTCCTCTGGTAACCACCAATCTAATCTTTATATCTATGTGAACAGTTAGTTGTTGAACACCTACTATGGGCTGGCAGATAAAATGTCAGATTCTCCCAATTGCGTAAGCATAAATCTAAATTTCATTTAGTCATTTACTTTTAATTCCTTCCTGTTGCTGGAATACCTGTGGAGTTTCTAGCTAGGCAAAACATTTGTAAAATGGAAACTGAGCTACTTTGAAACTTGCAATGTGCTCCATACAGTTAATTTTGCTAACATGTGTAGCCTTCTACTAGCCTGTTCTCTTCCCTGAGGCCATTCTAGTTAGTCGGTGGAGAGAGGGTAGGTTTTAGAAGACCTCTTTGGAAATGTGATCTTGACAATTCTGTGAGTTAAGTCGCCAAATACATAATGTGTGAAGTCAGTATTGGGAGATTGAAAAGCACTGTGAAGTAAGGCTCCGGGCCTCGTGGGCCTAACAAGGTGCTTGAGTAGAGAAGATGCAAACAGACATTCAGATGGGTCCAGGTACTCTGAGTCTGGGATAGTCAATGATGTAGTATAAGAAGTGTCCATGTTGCTGTCCAAGAAAGACGGCCATTTTCAGTTCAGATTTCAAGCAAGAATAAAAAAATATAGTAATTTAATGTTTACAGAATACTTTCCATGTGTTAACCATTGTACCCCGTATACCGAAACATACACACACATATATACATACACACATGTATATGCTTTATAGTATTTATATAGTACTTTATATACTTGTACTTTATGACTATATACTTATACTTTATATATTTTATCTCCTTTCCTTCTCCACCACCTTATGAGGCATTTGTCCATTCAACAAATATTTGAGGAGCTGGGCCAGTGCTCGGGGCTGGGCACGTGGTGGTGAACTGAACCAGGTGCAGCCTCTGCTGCAGTGGAACTTACACTGTCGGGGGGAAGAAATATACTGAACAGCTGATCACCCCCAAACTCCAGTAGTCACCTACTGTTCTCTAGTATTCTGAATGAGTATTTAGACAAGTGTTCTGAAGAAAGGCAACAAAATTCAAAGAAATTTCAAAACAAAGAATCCTGATGTAGACTGGGTGTGGTTAGGGGGGTTAGAATTCTAATCCCCACACAGGTGTGCAGACTCCCCACACTCAGGATAGAAGGGCAGAACTCCAGCCCTTAAAAAGCCATTTCTGGAGTAAACAGGCCTAACTCTAAGGAAGACCAAGAACTATTTACAATTAGTCACAAGAGCCAAGAAACAAGAATGGTCTTGCCATGGTAGGCCAAATGAGCTGTGACTCAAAGGGGAAAATCCACCAGCTGGGTGCCCTACCCACAGTGGGAAATAGGTAAGAGTTATTCCCATATCTGTAAGGAAGATCTAGAGAGTGAAATCAGAGGCTGCTGAATGCCCCATGCTTTGTTGTACATATACTGGTATGATATGTACATAAACTCACTTCTCATAGGATTGAGCTTCATGCACTCTAAGCAAGTTTTAGCATCCTCATGAAATCCCAAGTTAAAGACCATCTATAGTTTAGTAGTTCTTTCCTGACTTGCCTGAGCCAGCATTTTGGTGTTTAGGCATCAGCTTTCCTCACGGAGTCACATTTTAGCTTTATTTTGGCTTGGATGTAGTCACGTTACAAACACACTTCTCTAGTGATGGAATGATTATATAAAAATTAAAGGTACTGTTTGACTTGGCTTAAAAAATGAGAAAAAAAGAATTACTTAGAGATGAAATTAATGTGGACTGATTATTGAGGTGAGTCTTAGGAGGTGGGAAGGAAGCTATGCCTTAAAGGATGGTGAAAGTTTGGGAAGGAAGAGAGGAAGTTAAAGGAAGGGCATTTCAGGTAAAAGAAAAGAGAAGCCCAGCTGGCTGAGACACGTTTGGGCTGGGAGAGTGTGGGAAATCATGTGAGCAAGTTCAGGTGATACCAGGTATTGAAAGGCTTAAAAAAGATATGGAGGGCCGGCCCCGTGGCTTAGCGGTTAAGTGCTCGCGCTCCGCTGCTGGCGGCCCGGGTTCGGATCCCGGGCAAGCACCGACGCACCGCTTCTCCGGCCATGCTGAGGCCGCGTCCCATATACAGCAACTGGAATGGATGTGCAACTACGACATACAACTATCTACTGGGGCTTTGGGGGAAAAATAAATAAATAAAATCTTTAAAAAAAAAAAAAAAAAAGATATGGAGGGTATGAATTTGCCTATGGGGACATTAGGAGCCATGAGGTCCTTTGAGCAGGACATCATATGATAAAATACTGTAGTAAATCTTATTAAAATCATTTCCAGGATGGTTTTTTAGATATAGAGGCTATAAATGAGTTGCTTCAGTTCATCAAAATTTGAAGAACTGTAATTCTGTAATTCTTGTAATTCTACCCCGAGAGAACTGAGTCTATCGAAGTTTTTTGGTTAGAGCAAGACATGATGAAAAATAAAGGAAAAGCTATCCCAGGACATTTTCAGGGAGAGGTTTGAGCGAGTAAAGACGAGAATCACACAGCTGCCATAATGTGTAAAATTTCTACAGCAATATATTCCTTAGGTTAAAGAACGATGCTGTGAGTATGTCATCTGATGGGAAAGAGGCATTTGTTAAAAGTTTAGAAAGAAGTAATTAATCAGCTAAGAGGAAAATAAGTAACAAAGGAATCAGGGACCCAAGATAGGACCTTCTTTGATTGGATAATGGAAAAAGAAAAGAAAGAGTAGGGTAATTGGCAGGATAGTCACTACCAGAGAAGGGACATCAGAATAAGGCACCGTAGTGTGGCCTGGAGCTCTTCAGGGGACAGACCAAGGGTTGCAGACGGCCACGGGTGGAGGGTGGAATGAAGAGTGGCTATGAGGAACCTGTCAGAATAGATAGGCTAAATAGAGAAGCTAAGAAAATCATAGGCGAGCAGTAAAATGGATAGTTGCACAATATTTCTTTGAAACATCCATGTTAATCTTTACCATAAAGATATTTCCTGCAGCCCCCCCGATGCATGGACAGAATTGCCCCAGCTTAAAATTGCATTCACCTAAACAAACTTTTTTGCCTAGTAAGACAGCATGCCTGCCACACTATTCTCCTTTCTTCTGTAGGTATTTATTTTCAACTAAACGTGTACTTAGATGCTTAAAAGATACAGCTAATTTTTAAACGTAGGTTTAAAAAAGTTGTGAAAACGGTCAATCTTGGGATTTACAGACTATTAAAAAGATTGAAAACTCGATTGCTGCTTGTTTGGGTTTATAAAAGTACATTAATTACTTAAAAAGGAAGGAATGTCACTAAGTTTAAATTCATGCACAAATAGTCTAAAACAGAAATTTGTCCTAATATAGTCACCTTGACATGAATCCCATATAATAAACTCCTTATTAA